TTACAGGGGACGATTGAAATATTTCAGACAACAATGTATTGTTGGGGAAACTTACTACTTCATCTGTTGGAAGTTCATTGATCTTCTCTCAATTTTTTTCATTGCGGTTCCTATTTTCCTTTTATTTCATTTAATAATTTGACGATAAATTAAATTACTAAATGTAAATTTAATAATTTAAATAGAGTAATTTATTAAATTAAAGATTAAAGATTAATTGATTCAATTAATTTGTTTTTATTAACTTTTACTAAATGTAAATTTAATAATTTAATGAATTAATGAATAAATAATTAAATGAGTCGATGAATTCCACTTGATCTACCAAATAAGCACTCTATTAAATATAAATTAACATTTTTTTTATTTAAAGAGGAGAGCTAATTTATTAACACGGAATTATTCTTTATTCGGATAAAATGAATCATTCATTTCATATAATTGAACTACTTTTTAAATGTAAATGTGGAAGTTTATTAATTTCCAGTAAAAATAATGTTGAAATGAATGCGAAAAGTTCAAAGAAAGGGTCTTAGAGGATTCAAATGCGTAATTTTTCTGCACGGAGACAAGTTGGAGAAAAATAACCAAACAAGTCTAGCAATCGTGGAGCAAACTCGATTTTCAGTACTTTCTCAACCTGTGGCGGGGAAAAAACGATGCGAATAGTGAATTTTTCTCCGTTCCCACATGGAAAAATTTATATTTTAAAAAATATATTTAAAAATATCTTAAATTGGCGGAATTTATATTTAAAAAGATACATAAAATACATGGTTCATATATTTTTTTATAAATTTGACAAATATATGGAATTGGCCCATATATATTTTTTAAATATATTTCTTATGGGGGTTGACTCGAGAAAATTTACTCAACATGAGGGCAATTTGCGCCGAAACTCAAATTTTCCCTGCATTTCATCAAAAAACGATTAATTTATCCTTCCGGATGAAAAACGGTTATGAAATTTCAAGTTTCAAGTAGAACGGCATGAATTTTCAATTTTTCTGAATCTTCGCACAATAATTGAATTGAAACCTCAATTTATTGATTTCCAGATCACTTTTTTTTTTACTTCTTTATAGTCATGTAGCCCAGATATTGGGTTATTTACACTGTCGTATAGTTTTGATACATTTTGTTACATTGTCTTGTTGTAAGTTACTTACTCTACACCTGTAGTTTACAATCTTTTAGGAAGCAACAGATCTCTTTAATATATTTATAGTCAGATGCATCGGAAAATTGTCTAGTGTCGAAGGGTCTAGGACGCCCTGATTTGTTCAGTCTATCAAGAAGTTTGGATCGCAAATATTTTATTGATTTCCAAATCCTTTGAACCGAAAATCAATGGAATATTTGATTTTTCAACGACAACATTTCCTGAAACTTCACACGATAAAAATTTCCGAAATTTGTCACGGAAAATTCCGACGAAAATTTTTACCAGTGGAGTTCCTACCGATTTCTCTGAACCCGTAATCCATGGACATTCAGATCAACATCATATGATCACAGTGGTATACGTAACTTCCCGGAATACGAATTCAAAGATATCTAACAAGGAATCGAGATAACAGTAAGAAAAGAAGAGATGGCAATGTCGTGACGAACACGATGAATCGCATAAGAAGTTGAAATCGAGAGAGTACAACTCCAAGTGGAATAGTGAAGAAAAGGGTGATGAGTAAACTCGAAGGTGGGGAGTGTACAGACGGATTCATAGCGACACATAGGGCAGAGTTTAATCAGGTTCGACTAGTTAGTCTTGCAGGTGCGACGTTGTGACGTGAAGACGAAGAGAGATAGACCAGGGGGAGTTGTGTGTGTGTCTCCAGGAAATCTCCAGTGGCACAAGAAATAGCATAGCTAGGGCCAGTGTACTCACCATCGCACAATACTCCACACAGCCCCCTCCCCCTGTCTGTCCTCCTCAAACATTTTCTCGTGTGTGCGTGTGTGGGGTTTTTTTTTATTTTTCTTCAATCGTTTATTTACTCCTTCTTAAATCCCTCTTGTTACTCTGTCTTACGTTCTAGTGCGTGTCGTGATGCCCGCTGGATTTCTTTTTAGTTCGTCCGTGCCTGTGTCCTTAAGACTTCTACTCCCAACGACATTCTATTACTGAGGCGTTCTCACAGTCGTTAAACGTTTTTAATTTCCAGGTTCTTGCTTACAGCAGGTTCAGCTGGGTGGCGTGTGAAATATCGAGGGATTTTCGTACTAATACTTTCATGGGGCTCTGGATACGGATGGGTACTCTGTGCGATTGAACTTTTAGGCTTGGGGCGATGCACGGAGAAAAAATCAATTAAAATTACGAGAAAAAAACGTGAAAATTACGTGTCGAAACGTAATCCGCGAGCGAAGTAAAATTCAATAAAAAGTGTGAGTCGGAACTGAAATTGTACGAATCGCCACGTGAATTCTACGATTTGTTCCGTAAAAATGAACTACCCGTCTGATGACTCACCGCTGTGGGGACAACAAGTCGTTCCGTAATTTTTCCCCAACGATTGAGGAATTTTACGGAACGAAACGTAGAATAACTCACCAGCTTCATAAAAATTGTTGAAATGTTGAATAAAATGTTGCATAAAAATGTTGAACGTTCAAGAATTTTTGATTTTGGCGGCACAATAAGTCGGCAAGTTTCTGTAAGATTTTACTTCTTCGGGGATGAACCTGAGAATTCACTGAACGTTTCAGATTTCTTCACTTCCATTCTTATAAAAATTGCCGGAAAGCGATTCCCCATTGCGGATTACGTGAATTGTTCCGTAATTTTTACTGAATATTTCTCTCCGTGTGAGGGGATTCAGCGTACGTAAAAAAAAAATTTTTTTAACTGAAAAAAATTGAACTTCAAAATTTTTAGCTGAATTTCCAGTACACTTCTCGGAAATTTTTATCAAATTAAAGTTCCACTGGAATTTCAAGGAATTTCGTCATTGGTAATTCTGAATTTCAGGGGAAAATCAATGAGAACTCTAAATTTTAGGTCAATTATTCCCTGAAAATTAATAGGAAACCAGAGAATTTATTAATTTATTTGGAAATTCGGGGTAATTTGGCACTGAATATTCATACTTTCATTGATAGTTCGAATAAATTGAGAAATTCTCGTCTTCGTGCGTCTCAACATTTCGGAATTTGATTGACTTTTGAGTGAAATTTGAAATTTCGTCAGTGGCACTGACGAAAATTACTAGCCAACTGTCCATTGAATTTCATTTTTTTTCTGACAGTGTACACTGAGAACAAAAATAATTTTTGCTAAATATCGATTCAGGAGAGACCGGGGCAAAATGAGATCCCTCTGTTTTTTTTCGTTTTTCAATGAGACAAATAAGTCCAGTGTTTTTTTCGATGTAACGTTGTTTAACAGAGCACATAAGTAGGAATATAAGTTTTCGAATGAGAAAAAGTAACTTCTATCTAGGAAAATCTCTAATCGTCGTTATGAGTAATATTCTAGTATTTACGGGAATGAGAAAATTTCTTGTCCCATGCAGATAATTCATCTTACAGTTATGAATTTTTGCAAGTTCTGAATTCGATTTTTTTTGTACACTTGAGGCAGTAAATTTTTAGGCGGTAAATTTCCGATACACTTTCAGATAATTTTTATCACATTTTAGTTCCGCTAAAATTTCAAGAAATTTCGTCATTGAAAATCCAGAATCTCATGGGAAAATCAATGTGAAGTGCAAATATAAGTTTAATTATTCCCTGAAATTTAATAGAAATCGGGAAATTTTCGGTGAATATAATCTTGAATTTACAATTAATGGGAAATTCAGCGTTATTTAACACCAAATATTCATTTTTTCCTATAAAATTCTAATAAGTTGAGAAATTCTTGCCCTTAATGCTGCGTACAAATTTGGCATTTTCTGTTAAATCTGAAATTTTGCAATTTTTCCCCCCTAAATCGCATTCAATATTTATCTTCTGAAAGTCACTAGTCGGCTATCTATGAAATTTTAAGGACAAGGGGCCGATTGATCATAAACCGAGTGAAATAATTAAGAGTCTCTCCCGTTTTACCTCACGAGGATCAAACCCCGTCATTGTCACGGTTATTTTGGCATTTATTAATTAATTATTATCAATAATACTAGACTAATTATTTATTTATATAAAAAAAAATATCCATTTAACATAAACAGATCCAAATGAAAACTAATTTCAACTTTGAAAAAAAACTTGACCCCAAACTATCAAAAATAATCCCATTTATCAATTAAAGAAATACCCCCCACTAAATGCATTGTTAACTAACTCAATTATTTATTTAAATAATAAATCATTCGATCGTGAAGGATTCTACAAGCGCTGTCGTTGATAACACAGGAACCAGTAGAGTCACACGCTCTTTGTGCCGGCAATTCACCTGCGGTCAGTCATAATTGTTAATTCACGTCATAATTAATCAACAACAAGTAAACAAATCACGAAATAGTAAACTCCATCATCTCCAGAGAGTTTCCGATAAAATCTCTCCCTTCACCCCTAAAAACCTGATTTCCCTCCTTTATCAGCCATCGAATGCCATTAATTAATCTCTCAGTTCACAACAAATGAAGCTTTGCATAAACAAAATTTTCCGCACTTCGAAATTCTCCCAACGACGAACAATCGATGCGAAGGGTTTGTTCACGTAATAATTTAATTATGTCAGCTGACGTCCGGAGGCCATTTGTTGTGTTTTGGTTGAGCTTTCAGTGTGCAGGTGCACCTTGACGGGAAGATTTCTGGGAAAGCGAGCATGTGTCACCCATTCGGTTTTCGAAATTCGATCAACTCTCCGGGGTTGCACACATAACGAGGATTATCGCATGGAGGGAATGCAATTGAAAGTGTGTAGTGATAATATTCGGAGAATTATTGGATTTGTGAGACTGAAGAACGTTCAGACGTCCATTAATAGGCCTTCGCCTGTCAATACACCATAAACGATCAATTAACTTTCCACGGGGAGGAGAAAGTTGGAGAAAAATTACCGAACAAGTCAAGTAATTGCGGAGCGAAACCGATATTTAGTACTTTTTCATTCCTTTCGGGGAAAATGCGAGACGAATAGAGAATTTTTTTTCGTTGGCCCCGGAAAATTTACTGAACGTGCGAGTAATTTGTGCCGAAACTGTCGAATTTACCCTGCGGTCTATTAAAAATTCAGGGGTGGCCATCAATTTTTTTTAACCACAACTGTAACAGGATATTTACAGTTATTTACATTAAAAAATTGGTGTATGAGAAAATTAACGTAACATATCTAGTTTTTACAATAAACCATGGACTCTCAGTGACTCAGGAGTTTAATCATTATAATGTGGTTATTTCGATGATTTTATATTTACCCTAGTCTGGTCGCCAGACGGGAAAATGCGAGATCCGATCAATTAGCCCCTCATGTATAGATATTCCAAATTCTTTTTTTTTTCCTCATTGAAGTAGTTTTGAAGAAAATTGCGAGCTAATAAAAAACATTTGCTAGTTAGTCCTTTTTTTAAAATAAATTTTTGAAAAATCACCCCTGAAAAAAAGGCGTTATCCCCCCTATTTCATTATTTCCAAAAAATTTTATCACCAATCGGTAGCAAATTGTT